CTTGTTATCAGTTGTATTGTTGATAATAGCTGTTCTAACAGGAATGAGATGGTATTTCATGGTAGATTTCATTTGCATTACCCTAATAGCTAGTAAGGTTGAACATCTTTTCATATGTATGTTCACTGTTTGTATGTCTTTTTGGAAGAGTTGTCCAGGTCCTCTGCCCATTTTTCAATTGGATTGTTTGTTTGGTGTTGAGTTTTATGAGTTCTTTATATATTTTATTTGTTTTTTTTTTAAGTTTGGTAATTTTCTTTTTAAAGTTAAGCATATGGTTCAGGAATCTGACTGCTAGTTATCCACACAAGAGAAATAAAATCATATATCCACATAACGAGTTGCGCACAAATGTTCACAGCAATATTGTTCATTACTGCCTAAATCTGGAAACTACCCAATTGGCAATGTGTGCCAATTGGTGAATAAACAAATTATAGTATACCCATGCAATGGAATACTACTCTACAGTAAAATATGAGGAACTACTAATGAATATAACATGAATGAATCTCAAAATCATCACTCTGAGTTAAAAATCAGCCAGACACAAGAGACTATTGCCAGTATGATTACATGTATGAAATTCTAGAAAAGTCAAAACTTCTGTCATTAGACAAAAAGCAGATCAGTGATTGTTCTAGGTAAAAAGGGTTAAGGACTGGACTGCAAAGGAGCAAGAGAGAACTATCTGGGTGAGGCAGTGTTCCAAAATGTCACTGGGGTGGTGTGAGTACTTAACTGAATATGTATAATTTGAAATGGCTCAGTTTTATTGTAAGTTATAGCTCAATGAAGTTGTTTAAAAATAAAGATGGGTTAAGTAGAAGGTCTACTGTCTGTGTGACATTAACCAGTTTTCATTTTCTCACATGTACACTCATACACATTTTGTTATTAAAACAATCACTTCTTATTTTATTGCAGTTATTGGGCTCACACATGATTCTTATTCTCACGAGAAAAAGAATCATGTAGTTATCAATACTGTTGCTTGTCCCATCTCACAAGGCTGTTGTCAAATACCACACAAGATAATTACTAAGAAAGTGCTTTGGCAACTCTAAAGTAGTATTACACAACTATGTATTAGACTTCACATTTTAAAAAAACAGACATGAAAATGTTTTTTCACATGAATGACTTGAGACGCTTGAAAAGTTGAGAATCTCAAAGTCAGCCTTTGCCCAGAAACAGAGAAACAGGTGACCTATTGAATGGGTACCTTTTTAACATCCTTCCTAAACCTGCTTTCTAATGATTATTGATTTACTGGATGGCTCAATGTAGTATTATTTAGACTTACACTTCCATTTTTCAAAAAGAAGTATTAAAGAAATGTTTAAAGGAAGTCATTAGATAGGATGACAAGACATTTATTTCCCAGTGGAAAAGACCAAAACCTAGAAAACTGTCTTTAAGCACTTTCCTGAGAGGATCACAACTGAGATTTTTTCTTCCTTTATAGTCAGTTAAACTTCTTTCCATTTACTACTTCAGTTTCAAATGTCTTACTGAATACAGGGTCCAGCAGAAGTAATGCCTGCTTGAGTGTTGTTGGTAGGGTAATAATATGGGTGTAATAATTTATAATTTTAATATGAACATTTCACCTAAAATGTCATATAGTGTACTTCAGTGTGATATTGTTATGTTACAGAATTACATGCTTATGATTTTGTAATAAAAGGATATTATTTGTGCCAGACCCTGTATTTACTAAAGTGACCTGCATTAGCGAGAGTGGATATATAATTTTAATACCAAAACAGAAATTTTTAAACCAGCGTAGTAGTCATTTCACATTTTCACCTGTTGCAGAATTTAACATATTCTCATTTTTACTACCACTGCACAACTGGGTTCTCCACTATCCTACCAGGTATGGGTGATATTTGACATTTAGCCTAGCTATACATACAAGTTTCCACACTGCAACAAGTGTGAAGGGTTTTTGGAAATACATAATTTCTTCTTCAAATGCAGTTTGGTGACTAAATTTTACCTTGAATTCTAGTTTATATTACATCAAGTCTGACAATTCATAAGTTTTTCTACCAGCAACAGGTACAGCAACCGAAACTGAACACAACCTGTAGTATCACAAAATATTTTACTATCATTTTCAATTTTTAAAGACTCCTTTTAGTAACAGTTCTGAGGGGATGATTCTGTGATCAGTCTACCACCATGCTTCATTTGATTTGGTCCTGATTTAGTCTGGTCAGTAGTAACCATAATCTCTTAGTCTTTACATTTTTTCTTTAGTAACATTGAGGCCACTGGGTCCGGTAACCGCATACCTCCAGTTTTAGCTTCCAAGAAACCTGAACATGCCATCTGGGTCCTGCGCATCCTGATAGGGTGTGCCAGACCCGTTTCTCTGGCGGAAGAGCTAAAACAGAGTAGGGGCCATGCTGGCCTTAGCCAGACCAGGGTTGCTCCTCAGGGCGCCTGCTAGGCCCCTGCTTCTAGAGTCGCCCTGCCACTCCCATGGACGCTTCAGTCAGGTCGAGTTCTTTATATAATTTAGATATTAAACCTTTGTTGGAGCTGTTTTTGCAAGTATCTCCCATTCGGTTGGTTGCCTCTTTGTTTTGTTGTTGGTTTCTTTTGCTGTGCAGAAGCTTTTTAGTTTGATATCCTATTCATTTATTTTTGCCTTTACTTCCCTTGCCTTTGGAGTTTTCTATAATTTAAACTGTGTAAGGCTTAGAAAAATTGGAAAGGTTTACCTTTGTTTTGAGGCTGACTTGATAATACAGAAAAATAGTTTAAGTATAGAAAACTATAGCTCATTGAGGTGCCAAAATTCCAGCACTGTACTAGAAGAATGCACCATACTTATGAGGGTTCATTCTGGGGATGCAAGAATGAGTCAACATTAGGAAATCATGGTAGGAATACATAAAATCCACATGATGACCTGGATTTCAGCTCCAAAGGCATTTAATAAAAATCTCACATCTATTCTTACTTTTTAAAAAACTGTTAGTGAGCTAAGCAAAGAAATGGACACTTCCTTTATATAATGAAGAAAAATCAGAAGCAGAGACTTAATGGAGAAGGTTTTGAGGCATTTGCATTAAAGTCAAGAATAAGACACAGCTGCACACTTATAATACCCGCATTGTTTTGGTGCTTCTGGCCAATGCACAAAAAGGAAGAACAGAAAAGGAAAAATGTGTACATATATGAAAAGGAGGAAGAAAAAGGTTTTGTAAGTTTATAATATGGATTGTATGATATATATCTAGAATGTACAACATATCAGCAATAATGTTAAATGTATAATGGAAAATTGCAACACAAATGATAGAATAACTTCAAATGAATAAATATATCTAGGAAATATATAAGAAAAGAATACACAAACATAACAAAATATATACTCTTCTTTGTGAGAGGATGTCTCAATTTTGGGGGGGGGAACTTGACAGATTATTCTAAGTTCTTAATGAAAAGTGTAGATAGTTAATCTTTGAGACTATATAGAGAATGACTTTTCTCATCAGTATTTAAAATCATGATACTGTTGCAGGAATATACAGATGAATAAAACATTAGAGCAAGTAGTTCCAAAATGTCAGTCCATGGACTTGCCATATTAAAATTTCTTAGGGGAACTGTTTAACTACAGGTTCTGAGGTTCTGCCCTTGATTGCACAGGTTTGAGATGGGTCCTAGGATCTGTATATTTCAACATGTTTCCCAGGGGTCCTAATGTGCAGCCATTTTGGGAAACTCTAATATGCAGAATGCCTTTCACAACAAGAACCATAAACAAGAATATGAAGTGGGAATTTAACTGATGAGGTTCTTGGGATAAATGGTTCTTTAAGGGTTGGAAGAGTAGCTTTTACAACTATTGGAGGAGTGAGGCAGAGGTATTTTAGGATATGGGGGAATATGCTGTTACGGAAAGGATCAGCACTGCTGGGTTGTAACCTCCAGGGATCATTGAGGGGGTGTTGGGTAATTTAGTAACTGGAATGACCCTCCAGATTGCAAAATCTTAGTTGACTTTATTATGACACTGGCATCGTCAAAAGAGTGATGTGACTTCTGAGCCATAACAGTTAACATTTGCCAAACTTCTCTGCACAGTGACCTCTTTTCCTTGCCTGCACCATAATGTCTCCATTTCCTGTTGAGAATACTAGATAGGGTGAGTCTCCAAATATGACCGGAGGGTGAATCCTCAGTTGGCTGGGTTTGTCTTCAGGAATCTCATCTAGTTTGATGAGAGCCCTGGGCTGGCCTCTGTCTCTTATAAACATGATGATGCATGGAGACGGTGTTTCCTTTGTGAACCAGTATCAGCAGGTAAGGTGAATGCCTGGAAATTAATTCCACCTAGACGATAGATGGATGATGAGAAATCTCATCCCATCATCTCCCACCCAACTTTAACAGGAAGTGGGTAAGCATTTCAATTCAAATGGTGTGCAGTGGTGTGTACTAACTACATTTACCATAGAGAAATGTAAGATATTCACTATCATAATACCACTGCTGGTTAAACTGAATGGGAGTAGCCTGGGCCTGTCTGGGGAGGCAAACGTGCAGTGCCCATTGACCTGAAGCCTGCTTCCCTTTATATGTGGAAGGCTACGTGCAGCAGACCCTCACAAAATAATGAAAGCGTCTCCTTGGGTGCTCCTGAGTGGAGATGATCTTCCTGTCTCATAACTTGGCATGCATGGCCATAGGCGAGCTAGTTAATCCCATTTTCTCCTTTGTGGATTTTTTTTTTTTCAGGGGATTTTTTTTCCAGCTTTCTTCTTTTCTGAACTATGGTTTTTTTGCGTATGTTTTTAACATAAAAGAGCATGAAGTACAAACCATAACTAGTATAAAAAAGGTTTAAGTTGCTAATTCTGTTCACTTCTTGATTTTTAAAGCAATATATCATGTGGCTCATGTGTGGTTGGTTATAGGTAGTTTAACATTTACAGTAAAATTCACTTTATAACTTCACCCTGGTTATTTATCTTCAGTGAAGCATAACTGGGAGACCATGACAGAAGCTATTCAAAACCACATTGGCTCTCTAAATTGGAGCTACAGGCTGTCTTTGAGGGAAAAGGCTGTGGCCTATGTAAATTCCTATGGAGAATTTGTTGAGCATCATAAAATAAAGGTACTGTTTGAATATTTTGTCTTGTTCATTGCTTTCTTTTACTATTGCTTGTACTTGACTTGAACTAAGATTCCATGTTGCATGTTAAGGGCTATAGCTAGTGTGCATTCAGCCATGCATGCACAAGTATTTCCTCCATTATTTGTGGATTTCACATGTCTGGCCAAATTAATTTCCTTTTAAAGACCTCTTAAAGTTCTTTAAAGTTGCCTTTTGATTTCATTGCCATTTTAAAAGAGAAAATGTTTAAACAGTAAAAAAATAAAAATTTTAGTGTTAATTCTTTTTAAAAATGAAACCTTAATTAGAACTTCAATATATTATTCATAAGAGTATTAATAAAATTAGCATCAGATTAGTGTATTTTATAAATTTATAATGTTTATGTATTATCAGATCAATATATAAGGAAAATGAGATCATTTTGATGAACACAAAACTTTTAAATTGGAGTTTTGAAAGACAATCAAATATCCTCAACACCTAGTTTATTTTTGTACTCAGCTTTTCTAGTATAGCATGCAATAATCTTGACAGGATTTGAGGTTACTTTGTAGTGATTTCTTGTCTAGAAAGGTGTGAGGTGATCCATTTAAGGTTACCCCTTTCGAGCCATACATCAGCTAATTTGAACTGTTATCATTCACATGAAACACACTAGAAATACAAGTCAGTCAGTTTTATTTCTCAAACTGTCATATACCTGGTATAGTTGGTTGAATAAGCGATCATTCCCAGCTGTACCTGCCTCTCCTATGCCTCCTCATTTAGTGATACCAGTATCTCTCCAGTTACTCCAGCAAGAAACTTCGGGTTCCTCCCACTTCACCTTCACAGTTTGCACTTGTCTGTCACAGGTTCCTGTCTCCAGGTTGCTGTCGTCCATCCCACTGAAACCTCCCCTTTGTTTAAAAACTTTCATTGCTTTTTGAACTTTTAAAATGGGAATGTATTTATTTTTAACTTGTGTAATTGGAAACAAACAATGAAAAACCTTTGCTGATGCTCCATAGCCTGGATTTTTAGGATGGCAGAGAAGGATCTTTACATTTGGCGTTAATCTATATGACTTCATCTGTGACACTTGGCCTCCTCTCCTGTCTTTTACGGCTACTTGCTGTTCCTGGGATGCCAGCTGCTTTCAGGCCTGTGTGCATTATTATGTACTGTTCTCTCTTTAGGTTTCCATTTCTCTAAAATCTTTTCACTTTTCTCATCTCCACTTGAAATGTTACCACCTTTAAAGCCACCCCTACTATGGTCTTTTGATTAATATTTTGTGAAGACTTCTATTTTCTATGGTGCAGCTTATCACACTGCATTATTATTTTTGCATGTTTGTTCCTGTTGATGGGAAGCTCCATAGAAGGAAGTAACTAGTTTGACAGTGGTGACTGGTACTTTTTAGTGTTGGTTGAAAAGTGAAGTTTACTTTTCTTTTTTCAAGGCAACCAATAGAAAAGGACAGGAAACTTATTATACTGCTGCAAAATTCGTCATAGCAACAGGTGAAAGGCCACGGTATTTAGGAATCCAAGGAGATAAAGAATACTGTATTACTAGGTAAGATTAAATAGGCCATTTTAACTATAAATTGTATTATGTTTATTCCCTGGCTTGTTTCACAAAGATCTGAATTGATAAATAAAGGTATATACAACGCAAGAAGCTATGTAGTTAACATAATGGAGCAAAAAGAAAATAAAGTTAGATAAATAATAAGGTCAAATTTACGGACAAAAATATGCTATATATTTCTAGGTAATTGCTCTGGAATTTGGCTCTAACCTTCCTGGAGGCTGAAGAGAAGAAGCAAATACAATTAGCTTTAGGTTTTAGTGTCTAATATAGTAATAATGGACCAGCTGATCAGGAGAATCATGGCTATTCCTAAAGAGGACAATGTGTAATGAAGTACAATAACTTTCAAGCTTTTTTGACTAGATACACATTAAGAAATATATTTTTCTTTGTGTTGTTATTCAGGTGAACACACAAACACATATCCAAAACAAAATAGTATTTCTTTTTATCACATATAACACAATCTAATATTTTCTCTTCTATTTTTTTTTAAAAATCACTTTTCTTGTGCCCTGGCTGACATGGCTTGGTTGGTTAGAGCATTGTCCCATACAACAAAAGCTTGTGGGTTTGATTCCTGGTCAGGGCACATACATAGGTTGTGGGTTCAGTCCCCAGATGGGGCACACATGGGAGGCAACCACTGGATGTTTCTCTATCACATCAATGTTTCTTTCTCTCTCTCTCTCTCTCTCTCTCTCCCCCCCCCGACACGTCCTCTCCCCAAAAGCAATGAAGAAAATGTCCTTAGGTGAAAATTAAAAAAACACAAAAAACTTTGCTTGCAGTCCACTAATTTGATTTTGAAAAAACTGAGGTATATATACTTCTTTCTGCACAGGAGAAACTATTACAAACTCCAAAAGGCTATTTCTTTTAGTGTTTCTTGATTCAAGCCCCAAACTGTAATTCAGCCAACAAAAGACCATTGAAGCCAGTAACTTATTTCATTTTTATTGCCTAGGTATTCTTTTTCTTATTTTTATTTTTCAGCGACGACCTTTTTTCTCTGCCTTATTGCCCTGGCAAAACATTAGTAGTCGGTGCATCTTATGTGGCTCTGGAATGTGCAGGATTTCTTGCTGGTGTTGGCTTAGATGTCACAATTATGGTGCGTTCAATCCTTCTTCGTGGCTTTGATCAAGAAATGGCAGAGAAAGTGGGTTCCTATATGGAACAGCATGGTATTACGTTCTTAAGAAAATTTATACCTGTGATGGTAAGTCTGAATGACATTTGGAATTCCTTTTATTTTCTTTTTACTCTCTCTCGCGTTTTATTTTACCCCTCCTTCGCTTCATTGAGTAAATTGGTCTATACTCAGTAGGAAATCTTAAAGCTAGTGTTCCTACCCCCAAGTGTACAAAACTGGCCCCCATTTGTCCTTGTCTTCTTCTCCTCTGATAGGGAGGTACGGTGTTGCTCCTCTCAGCCCAGATTCCTCTTCTCTCACTGTTCTCACTTTTTCTCACCTTTTCAGGGTCTTCCTCTCTCCTCTATCATGCCCTTCAGTGTTGTGCATCTTTGAAAAAATAGGCCCTTCCTCTTCTCTCTGCTTTTCTGGCTGGGTCCCCATTTTTCTTTTTTCCCATAGGAGAAAACTATCCATGTTAATTCTCATTTCTTACTTCATTTCCCACTGTCTCAGACTCTCAGCTGCTTCCTGGGACCTGCTACTCCTTTGAAACTGCTTGTCAGGTTCTCTATCAAACTTCTGTTGTCAAAGCCAATGGTTACTTCTCTGTCCTATCTTACTGGGCCTCTGGCTGCAGGTGGTGGAATTGACATTCTTTCCATTTGAAACCTACTCCTTTCTCTACTTTTCTGTCCCCACAGCCTGTGGTTCTACATGTACTCAACTTGTAAATATCAGAACACCTGATCTCTCCTCCCTCTTCACTTTTCTGCCCTTTATACCTAGGCAGTCTTCTTTAGGCCACAGTTTGTTATCTTGATGCTAATGGCTCTCAGATTTATATATCCTGCTCAGGCATCTCTCCTGAACTCCACACTCATTTGTACAGCTGCCTACTGGATATCTCCATTTGAATTCCTCCTAAGCATTTCAAATTTAACAAGACAAAAATGAAACTCCTGATTTTCTACCTAAGTATATTCCCCTGCTAATCTTTCTGTACTATCTCTGTATTCATTAAATGATAATACTGTTTACACAGTTTATTAAACCAACACCTTAGTAAGCATCCCTTCTTTCTTTTATGCTCCCTCCAACTAATCCATTGTCTTAGTTCTACCTCCAAAATGTATCTTGTGATAGTCCTTTTTTTTCTCTCTCTGCTTAGTTCCAAAACCTAAAAACATACACACACATACATATTCACACTGATGTGTATACCCTAGGACCCATTAAATTTCTGTCCCCTTTAGATAGAATTGTTACATTGTTTATCCTTTCTAGGTTCAACAGTTGGAGAAAGGTTCACCTGGAAAGCTAAAAGTAGTGGCTAAATCCACTGAAGGCCCAGAAACTATTGAAGGAGTATATAACACTGTAAGTTTTTATTTTAGAAGCAGTAAGTGGTTGAATACACTCATAATTTAGCACAGGAGATGCTTCTGGGAAAATTATACAGGCTTAACTATTTTTTGGATTCTTTCTAAGAGTGTACTAAATGTGGAAGGTAGTTGACATTTGATAATAATGGTACATGAATAATATATTGCATGTGTATGTGTAATTGTGCATAGAACAAAATCTAGAAGCAGAAATACCTGACTGTTATTAATACTTAGTTCATGGGCATTAGATATCTTATACATTTCTGTACTTAAATATTCTTGCAAAAAAAATTGAATAATGTTATATTTATATATTATGTATTTTTATTTTTAAAAATATATTTTGTATTTCCAAAGCTATCTTTTTGAAATATATTTTTATTTTAAAAAAATGTTTAAAATATCCAAAAAGTGTGAGTAGTCCATGGACTATTTTGGATGGCAGCGATTCTAATTTAAATTGCTGATGTTTGGATGCCAACATTTCTTCTGTAAGTTGTAGTTTAAGAGCTTTAACATAAATTATACATTTATGTTTTATATACTCTTAAACATACGGTTTTTTTAGTTAAAAAAGGAAATGATGTAGAGAGTCCAGTCAAAAATATATTAGAAAATAAAATGCTTTTATTTGATTATTTATCCTTAAATTAATTTGAATTTTCTTCGTACATATTCATATTATTGGTGAATAATAACAGTTTTGTTTGTTCCTTTCCATTGCTTTCCTCATTACTTCTTTTTCTTGTATAACTGTAGTAGCTGGGACCGCCAGTAGAGTGTTACTGAGAATGGTGATGGCAGCCATTCTGGTCTTGTTCGCAATATTGAAGGAAAGTTTTCAGTGTTAGATTATTTAAGAATAATTTTTCTTAGGTTTTTTGTAGATATTTAATCAAGTTAAAGAAATTCTTTTCCATTTTCTGTTTGCTAAGGGTTTTTTGTTATTTGGGGTTTTTTGTTTTAAAAATAATGAATATATGAGTTCAGTTGTAACAGTTCATTTTGTAGCCATTGATAATCAAAATTTTTTCTTTAATTTGTTAATATGTTGAATTACATTGATTTTCTAATCTTTAATCAACTTTTTATTCCTGATACAAACTTAACTTGGTAAAGGTCCTATTTATATATTGTTGTGTTGGATTTGTGTATTTAGAATTTTTGCATTATATTCATGAGTTATACTGGCTTATAATTTCCCTTCTCTTATTGAACCTGTCAGATTTTGGTATCCAGTTTATTTTAATATAATAGGGTACAAGGTGGAGGTCCCCAAATATAGCAGAACATATCCCCCATGAACTTGGATTGTTGGAAAAGGGAAGTGGACAGACAATAAGGCAGTTAAGCTACTTAGCAGAACAATGGCAACTTAATAGTTTTGCCCTGAGCAAAAGTTATATGTGACTTTAAGGGCTTATTATGACTTGTGACATAGCCAGGGGAGGTTGATGTCCACCCTGGATCCCCCTGTGTCACAGGGAACTCTTGCCCTGACTGGGGAAAAATAAAAGATGGCATTTAAAAGAAGGTAAAAGATATGGTGGAACAGCACCATAGCAGGGCAGGATATGAGGTCACATAAGGAGTTCTAGGTCGAGCATTTAAATGAGAGCTGAAAGAGAAGGGGATTCCACCATGGGGTGTGAAAGAGAGGAGGATGAAGCCATGCAGTAGGAAAGGGTGTAAGGAGAGAGCTGATGGAGCTGTGTGAGGACCTGCCTGACCAAACACAGATTCATGGGAGATGTGTGGAGCTGAACTGAACCGTGACTGGGAATGCTGTGTTGCAGACTTGAGTTGTTTCTCTGAAGGATGTGTGGAGAACCCACTCTCTTGGGACATGTGCCTCCCGAGACTCCACCATAACAGTGTAACACAGCATGTGTTTTCCTAAACCACTACATGGAGGCAAAGAAAAGCGCACCCCAGATCCCAAAAGAGAGAGCTGCTGCAAGAGGATAGTGACTCTGAAACCCCCAAGAGCATCTTCCAGAGGGGATGGAAACCTGTTTGCACAGATGGCTTAAGAACAGATAAGGATAAAGGGAACTCCTGGGCATGGTTTTGGCTTATAGCCTGGTGGGGAGTATGGGAAGTTCTGGGTCTCATGGAAGAACAGGGCTCTGAGCAGGAGTGCTCCTCAGCAACCCCAAGGTTGGAACCCTGTAAATAAAACCTGTTCCCTTCAACACTAATTGTTGGGTCATACATAAAGGTGCCATGTGGATGAGCCCTAGTTTGCTCAGTTACACTAACTCATGAAAGAAGTTTGGAGTATGTCTCCTCTTTTTCTTTTCTCTGGAAGCATTTATGTAGTGTTAGAACATTCTTTGTATGTTTGATAGAATTCACAGCTGCAACCATGTAAGTCTAGAATTCTCTATGGACACACACACACATACACATGCACAGTATTTTACCACTGATTAAGTTTTTTAACAAAGGACATTTAAGCATTTAAGGCTTTCTGTTTTTTTCCTTGAGTTACTTTAGATTTATACATTTTTCTAGGGATTAGTCCATTTCATCTAACTTACCAAATGTATTGGTATAAAGTTGTTCACAATATCTAAATTAGTAAATTGTTAATTTTGTAATGAGGTATCATTTACAAGTAGTGAAATGCACAGGTCTTAGATGTATAGTTCAGTCAGTTTGACAAATGCATATGTTCATGTAGTACACACTCTTTAGAAGGTAACATAACATGTCTGTGAGTTTAGAAAGCTCTTGTGTCCCTTCCCACTTCCTGACCCCAAGCAACCCTATTCTGATTCTGTGACCATAGATAGTTTTGCCTATTTAAACATCACAGAAATGGAACCATATAGTAGGTACTCCTGATATCTGGCTTTTTAAATTCAGAATAATGTTAATAGGATTCATCCATGTTGTATGTATCAGTAGTTCTTTTTATTGTATAAATTATATGAATATACAGTTGTATGACTATATCACAGTTTATTCATTTTTCTTTGGATGGACCCTTATGCGGTTATCAGTTTGGGCTAATTGTGACTTAAACTCCTATGAAAATTTAAGATATCAGGCCTTTTGTGGACATATATTTTCATTTCTCATGGGTAGATAAATACCAAGAGTGAAACTTCTTGGTCCTAGGATAGTTCCTATGTTTAATTTTTTTGAGGAACTGCCAAATACCTTCTAAATGATTATATCATTTTATATTTCCACCAGCCATGCATGAGAGTTTTGGTTGTTCCATATCCTCACCAACATTTGGGGTTTGTTGGTTTTTTCATTTTAGCCATTCTAGTACATGTATGGTTTTAAGTTGAATCTTCTTGATGACTAAATGATATGGAACATATTTTTCTGTTTTAATAGTCATTTTTTATATTTTCCCTTATGAAGTATCTATTTGAGACTTTGGCTCATTGCCTTTTATGTTACTTGAGGTTTTATTCTTGAATTTCAGGAGTTCAGTATATATTTGGATATATTCTTTTCTTCAGATATATGTATTGTGAATATTTTCTTCCCATCTGTGACTTGCCTATTTATTTTTATGGCATCTTTGGTTAGCAGTAGTTTTAAAACTTTTTATGAAATCTAATTTATTAACTTTCTGTTTTATGGTTAATGCTTTGTGTGTGCCCTAAGAAATCTTTGTTTATTAAAAGGTTGTAAAGATATTCTGTATTTTTTGTGACGCTTTTTAATTATATATTTTATGTTTAGATTTGTAATCCATCTTGAATTAATTTTTGTTTATGGTGTGGGGTAAGAATTGAGATTCTTTTTCTTCTATATGGGTACCTAGTACCACTTGTTAAAAAGACTTCCCTTTCTCCATTAAATTGTTTGGTGCCTTTGTTGAAACTATTTGACCAATTAGCTGTCAGTCTATTTCTGCACTCTTTCTTCCATTGACTGTTTGCCTCACCACCCTGTTTTCATTATTGAAGCTTTACAATACATCTCAGACCAGTTACAGTAAGTCCTCCAACTTTGTTTAAGTCCTGTACATTTCCATTTGAATTTTAAAAACAGCTTGCCATTTAAAACAAAAAACAAAAAAATAACCTTCTGGGATTTTGATTGGTACTGTATTGATTACACAGGTCAGTTTGGAAGAACTGACATCTTTTCCTTTTTTTTTAAGATTTTATTTATTTATTTGTTGAGAGAGGGGGTGGAGAGAGGGAGAGAGAAATATCAATGTGTGGTTACCTTTCGAGTGCACCCTACTGGGGACCTGGCCCAAAACCCAGGCATGTGTCCTGCCTGGTAATCGAACTGGCGACCCTTTGGTGTTTAGGCTGGCGCTCAATCCACTGAGCCACACCAGCCAGGACTAGAACTGACATATTAATGATATTAATGTTTCCAATACATGAGCATCCTGTATCTTTATTTACATATTCTTTAGTTTTTCTCAGCAATATATTATCATTTTGTTCTAGAGGTCTTTCATGTATTTTGCTAAATTTATCTTTAGTATTTCATGTTTTTAAGCTATTGTAAATGGTATTTAAGATTTTTTAACTTTGAGTTAGTTGATAATTTATATAAATACAAATGATTTTTGTATATTGACCTTGTAGATTCTTAGGGTTTATGTCTGCATATGAAACTGGTTTGGTTTCTTCTTTTTAACCTATATCTTTTTATTCCTTTTTCTTGCTTGTTGCACTGGTTAAGGCCTCTAGTACAGTGCTGAATAGGAATTAGGAATATAAATCTTTACCGTATTCCAATGTTTGGGATGATCTTAGGCATTCAGTCTTTTATGGTTGCTAGGGTGTAAGCTGTACTATCTTTTGCAGATGCCTTGTATCAGGTTGGGAAAATGTTCTTTTATTCTTAGTGTGCTGAGGATTTAATTAGAATCCTCAAGGACGTTAAGTTCTGTCAAATACTTTTTTCATTTCTGTTGGGATGATTATATTGTTTTCTCCTTTATTGTTAATATGAGGAATTACATGGATTGATATTTGCATGTTAAACCAATTTGTGTTTTGGGGACAAACCTCACTTGGTCATGATCAATTATCCTTTTTATATACTGTTGTATTTGATTTGCTAAGATTTTGTGAAGGATTTTGCATGTACATGAAGATACAGGCTTAAAATTTTATTTAAATATTATTGTTTGATTTTGATTTCAGTTGTTTGTGCTGGCCTCATAAAAAGTTGTTGGAAAGGCTCCCTTCTCTTTTGTCTGGAAGAGTTTGTATACTGTTAATGTTATTTCTTACTTATGTGTTCACTAGACTTTACAAATAAAGTCATCTGGGTCTGGAGTTAATTAATGGCAAGTTTATAAATTGCGAATTCAATTTCCTTACTGAGTATGGGGTGTATTAGTCAGCAAGGGCTGCCATAACAAAATACCACAGACTAGGTTGCTCAACAAAGGAAATTTAGCTTCTCAAAGTTCTGGAGGTCAGAAGTCTGAAACGAAGGTTGTCAGCAGATTTAGTTTCTTCTGAGGCCTCTCTCCTTGGCTTGCAGATGGTTGGTTGACTTCTCTCTGTGTCCTCATGTGATTGTCAGTCTGTGCTGTGAGTGTTCTAATATGGACACTAGTCATATTGGATTAGAGCCTACCCCGATGGCCTCATTTTACCTTAATTGCCTCTTTAAAAGATCCTGTCTCCTGATACAGTCACTTTCTGAGGTATGGGCGGCTAGGACTTCAACATACGAATTTGGTGGTGGGGGGTGGGGACGCAATTTAAGCACATAACATAGGGTTATTCAGATTTGTGTATAAATTTGGTAAATTGTATCTTTTAAGGAGTCTATTTTGGGGTGTAAAATACAGCATGGTAACTAGAGTTAATAATACTGTATTGTATATTTGAAAGTTGCTAAGAGAGTAGATATTAAAAGTTCGCATCATAAGAAAAAAATTGTAACTGTGTGGTGACATACGCCAGCTAGACTTGTGGTAATCATTTTCAGTATATACAAATAAGGAATCATTATGTTGTACACCTGAAACTAATATGTTGTCTATCAATTATACCTCAATTAAAAATGCATTTGACCTAAAAAATAAGGAATCTGTTTCATTTAAGCTGTCAAATTCATTGGCATAGGGCATTTATAATAGTTATTAGTTTTTTATTATCTGAAGGATCTATGGTGATATTCCTGCTTTCATTCCTGAAATTGATAAATTTGTGTTTTGATCTCTGTTTATAGGTTTTGTTAGCAATTGGTCGTGACTCCTCTACAAGAAAAATAGGCTTGGAGAGGATTGGTGTCAAAATCAATGAAAAGTATGTACATGTGGGATCATTGCACTATTGATGCACAAAGCACAACGTTTGTACAGATCACTTAAAATTCTGATATAATTACTAAGCTGCAAAATTTTAATGCTTTGAATTTATTTTATAGTAAGTACTGTCCCAGCTCTGTGTTATCAATTGTTTCATTAATCAGTAACTCTTTATTGTTTGCCTTAAAGAGCTCATGCATGATTTTAAAAAATAACTGAGAAAATATATTCACCTACGTCTGATTCAGAGGGAATTTTCTGGCCTTGGTTGGGCAAGGAGAAAAATTTCAAAACTCTTAAGTGCAGTTGTGGGGGAAATCTGGGAATAATCCTCAACATCAAAAAAACGAGCATTGTTTCATTGACCAGCAAGGTGTTTTCTTTTAGAGCTACAGAAACCTTCGTTATTGTAAGCCATTGGTCTTATAGACAGTTAATGACCTGAGATGCATGAATTCTTAGAGCAAGGTCATATCTCTTTGTACTTAGTTCTCTTTGAAGACTGTTAGTCATCCAGCAGCATAGAGTTAGTCATAGTATATTTTTTCCTGTTCAAAATCTAATAGGAGTGGCAAGATTCCAGTAAACGATGTGGAACAGACCAGTGTGCCCTATGTTTACGCTATTGGGGATATTCTGGAAGATAAGCTTCAGCTCACTCCTGTCGCCATACAGGCAGGCAAGCTGTTGGCTCGAAGACTTTTTGGGGGTCGTTTAGAAAAGGTGAGTTTCTTACCGTTGATTTTGAGATAATATCTAAATAAATTATGACTTAAAAAGACCAGTATAAATGAAACATGTGTGCTTGTTTTGCAAGTAAAAAGTTCTTCACAAATAAATTATTTGCAGTTGACTTATTTACTAATGATTTTCAAAAATAGTTTTTTAATATATGCCATGTGCAAGATGTTTTGCTGGATGACACACAAAGGACTGGCATGATTCCAGCACCAAGGGGCTTGCTAGGTAGCTGGGGGTCATGAGTAAGAGGAGAACAGTTCATTCTGACTGAAGGGATAAGAAGAGGTCTCGTAGGTTGATGGTTGCACTGTCACAGAGTAGGAGGGGCACTCAGAGTGGATCAGGATGCTACCCCTGGCTCAAATGCCTGCTTAGTGTGTGAACTTGGTCAAGTCATTTCACTTCTCTTCATCTCAGTTTCTCCATCTGCAAAGCTGATGGTGTGAATCAGGTGAGTTCTGCAGTCTCCTTCGCAGTCTCTTTCATAGTCTTTGATCAAAGAGTTGGGATGGGCTTTATAGGATGAGTAATTTAAAACTGAGGGACTAGAGGGCTCTTTGATAAGTAGGTAACTCAAAGAAGCCCAGAGCTCTGGACATGCGGAGTTGTTGGCAGATGTAGGATGAGTGGGGAAGTGGGTTTTACTGGGTGAGTGTAAGGAATGCTAACTGTTCTGTTGCACACAAAGGAAGAATTGTCTCATCCACAATACTTACAACATTTTGAGGTGCATACAGGGAAAGCAGTTGGTGATAGAGGAGTACAGTTGGAAACGAGGCTGGAAAATTGATTTGGCACCAGATCATCAGAAATCTATAATGCCACAGAAAAGAATCAGTAGGGCCTTCTCTAGGCAGTGGGAGCTGGTTAAGCTCTTTATTTTCCCCAACTTTTCATTTAGAAAGATTGCAAACATCAGAAAGAATAGTAACAATCACCTATATTACCCTTTTCACTCAGATTTCACAGTTATTAACATTTTGCCATTTTTGCTTTCTCCTCTTCTGTATATCTATACAATGTATGTACATTCTTTTTTCCTTGCTGAGCTATTTGAAATAAGTGGCAGACATCAATGATGTTTTGCTCCTAATACTTCAGCAGGTTTCTCCTGAGAACAAGGATATTCAACTACATAAGCACAATTCCATTACTGTACCTGAGAATTCAACAAATAGGCAGTAATATTCACATTTCCTCAGTTTTTCATTAGTATGTGTGCACATGTTTTGATTCACACAGTACCTGGCTCTTCTAACTGTTAAGTCTCTTGTAATCTGCTATGGCCCTCTGCTTTGATTTACCTGTTTGTTTGCTTGTTTTACTTCTCATGACTTTGATTTTTGATGAACCCAGGCTACTTTTCTTGTAGAATACCTTACATTCTGAATTTCCCTCATTGTTTTTTTCATGACTATGTTCAGGTGAAAGTTTGGGGCACATATTCTTTACAAGGGATGCTGTATGCTGCCTATTTTATCAGTCCAATTATTTTGTAAAGTCGTGAATGAAAACCTAGTACGCATGTGGAGGTGTTGGTGGATGAGGGGCAGCTGGGGACATGGCACTGCTGGCTTTAATAGGTGGGGCCAAGAATGATAAATGTACAAAGAAAAATTATCCTATCCAAAGTACAATAGCATTTAAAGGTGTATGGAAGCAGAGTAGTTCCTAATGCTTTAAGAAGTTGGTCATGGTGTCCGTGGGGTAAAGAGATTAGAAGCAGACCAGTGTGTGTGTAAAAAGAGAGAGGTTAAAAGTATAGGACTGAAAGGAAGGCTACAGGGTGAGCAAGTCAAGTTCAAGTGGAGGAAATAGTGTAAGATGTGCAAAGAGTATTTTAGATGAAAAGAATAAAGTTGAGGAATTGCCTATTGATTTCTTTGTTGATACAGAATAGGAGATTAGAGGCATCTGCTGAGCTATGGGATATGGGATCAGCTGCTGGTCACTAAATGGAATGACGAGCGTTTATTTGATGGCTTAAGAGAAGTCAGAAAACTAGGCAGTCCATCTTGTTACGTGATTTTCTCTAGCCATGTTGGAATAAAGAATACATATGTTTCATGGTTAGCAAGTTAGCAAATATGAAATGGGATTGGGGTATATTTTAAGTTAAAGATTCTAGGCAGATGCATCTTGTATACAAATCACCTCATTGGTGCAATATACATGGTGTTTTGAGGTGTCAAATCACATAGAGACTTAGGACAAGGACTGTGCTAGTGCTGGGCCTCACTGCAATTGGAGGAGGGCTGGGTCTGGGTGTCACGGCTGCTCTTGGTCCATATCACACGGATATGGGCTTCACAGGGTGCCCTTCCTTTAGCCTAACTTGGCCACAATGCTGTTTTTTCCTGTCAGACTACCACATGAGGGATCTTTCCTTTGCTCCTAGTTTATTTTCCTACAAAAGAAACAGTTTGGGGCAGCTCACCTTTCTCTGCATGGGTTTTGGGTCAGTTTATGGATTACCTTTCTTTGGGTTAGATGTCACCCCTGACTTACTAACCTATAACTTGTTGGCAGGGATTTGGGGGACATGCAGTGTTCTAGGCATGTAACCCCTTCAGGGGCTGTGAGTGCACAGTCACAGCAACCTCCATCCCTGGTTATACCCTCCATTCTTTCTCTATCCCTGCATGCCACTTTCTGTCCACAGATAAAGTTTTAATGATGCTTCCTCTCACATGTTCCAGCTCTGCTCCACAAGTCACAAATGCTTTCTCCTCTAGGCAGAGATGCCCCTTAAGCTTGGCACACATACTCACTTTCCCATGGACAGATGATGCAGTGGAGCTGCTGGAAGAGTATGTGTAGGGTTCAGAGTCTGCAATGTCCTTGTGCTGTCCACTTGTGCTATATCTCAGTCAGATCAGGGCTCTAAAGGGATTCTGTCATAACCATGGGATTCATGCAGTCCCAGCCTGCAAGTACACATATGTATGCCATCTCCCCATGATGGTCCAGGGAAGTCACTCAGACCCACACTATTGATCTGTTTCTTTGCTTACCATATCAGTGACACTGTTAAATGAAATAGCCAAGAGTGGTCTAGGCTACAAGTGAAATAGTGTAATTCTCTGTCACCTAGTAGAGGTGTTCCAGGAAAGCAGAGCCCAGAAATTGTGGGGATGGGAAAAATTTTTTTAGAAAGTACCTATAAAGGCAACAAAGTACACCCACCTCTACTGAGTGGTTTTCAGACCAGAAGTCTAAGGTTGGGGCTCTGGAAGAGCCAGTCCTGTTCATCACTGGCCAGCGCATGGTCTCTGTCCTAGAGTTGGGCTCATCCCATCTCCTTTCATGTAATTTAGAATTCCCTAAAGTGGTGATATGCCAGAATCATTTACTTTGAACTGGACTTATTTTCTTTTTATAAATGTATGTGATAGAAGTTTTTGTGGTAAAGAAAACAGTGTCACAAAAGAAAAGCATGTAATTTTTTTATCTTTTAGTGTGATTATATTAATGTTCCAACTACAGTGTTTACTCCTCTGGAATATGGCTGCTGTGGATTATCTGAAGAGAAAGCTATTGAAGCATATAAAAAAGAGAACCTAGAAGTAAGATTATATTTGTTTTTAATCTCTTTTAATAAACTGCCTTCTCAATCACTTACTTTGTCATTTCGCAAGTTTTTATAATGGTTGTATTGTAGGAAATCATCCTATTTTAGGAAAATTAGAAATTAAATACAGGGGTACCTCGGTATACGTCGTTAATTCGTTCCAGAATTTGTGACAAGTGCCAGACCAACCAGTACTGAACGATGAAGCATTTTCTCTTGTGGGGAGGTGTCATGACTCATACAAGTTCTAGCAAGTGCAGTGAGTCCTAAGCAAGTGCTAAGTGCTGAGATATTGTCAAAATACAATGAGTGCAGGGTTTGACAAGTTCTGAAGCTCACAAGTACTGAGGTATGACTGTAATTTAAACCGTCTCTCTTGTAAACGAATAATAATACACTTGAGGAAAGAGAGTTGTAAAATGTGTACATTAGGACTTTTGAATTATAGATAGCAAATATCTATTTGAGTAAGCTTACACAAGGAAGCACATGTTATTATAAGTTCTTTTAGGAGTGCAGAAATGTACCAGGGCCTTAGGAAGGGATAAGAACCAGGAATTGGAAGACTGTTCCACCTCCTTCTTTTATTTGATTGGGGCTTATATGTATGTTTGTGTGTGTGCATGCAGTTCATTTCTCTGCTCCTCCAGATAGACTTTATTTGTCCCTGGAGTGCACAGAGCAGCTCGTATATGGCCTTTTGCTCCCGAGTTTAGTGATAGTCTTGGTCTTCAGAGGAACTGATTGACTTACTGTTTCTCAGTCTCAATTCTCAATTATGGGAGAGGACCTTTGACTGGTCTGAGTTGGGTCGGCCATCCAACCACTTCCATTTGGCATGATGGTAGTAGACAGACTCATGGCATATCAGAATGACTCTGGGAACCTACACTATGATTGAACTTTAGGTGGGGAAGATGAGCAGTTCCAAGGGTTGTCGTAGGGTGTGGGCTGTTCAGACTCTTGGAAAGATGTCCTTCACACATTTATTTCAGCCTCCCTTTTACCACTGCCCCATTTAATCACAACCACCTTATAAATATTTTCTTACATTTTGGTGAGTGGTTTGAGTGTCGTTTTTCTGCAAACCCTCCCAACATAGGAGGGATAAGGAGAAAAGAGTTGGAGGGTTATGAGTACTTGAGGTTTTAGGCAAAAGATAATTGAAATTTCAGTTCTCTCTCTTAATGACATTTTAATTTATTACTGGAAATTTTTTTAAACCATAGCACTGATATCCCCTAGTTAAATGGCCTGATGACTTATTGAAACTCTTACTTATATTTCTGGTATTGGGAAAATGTATGTTTAAAGCTTTATAATGTTATTTTAGCTGGTTGCTTTCAATGAGACATTTACATTTTAGAGGACATTGTTTGATCAGTGTTTATAATTAACTCCTTATGACTATGGGCCATCATTTTTTGCAATGGTTAATTTTCACTTGGGTGCTGGAACATTGATAGTAATAATAACAGACTTAATACTTAGTTGTAAAACTTTTCAAAATTAAAGAGGATTAAAATACAGAGGCAAGAAGACTATAGAAGGCCATATCCTATTTAAAGGAATATTTTTATAGGAAAAAAGTTCCCCAAGTTTGTGGGATTTCTTTAAGGTCTTCATTCTAAGGTTCACTGCATATCAACTCACCTACTTTCTTTTTTTATTGCATTTGATAAGGCTGAAAATTTAATGTATTGGTATTTTTTAAATTCCTAATATAAAGAAATTGTAGGAAGACTCTCAAAAATACCTATATGATATTTTTTATCATATAGGAAATCAGGGTGAAAGGAGAATGAGGATACAAAAAATAAGATGGTGTTAGAAGAAGGTTAATTTGTTGGTTCACAGAACTAATGTTATCAAGTCTTACAAACTTGATCTAGGATTAAGCTGAAAAATGAATTTAAGTCTAAGCTCCTTACTACGTGACTAAAAGGGGGAACTGGGAGATATTTCTTCAAGTTCTTATAAAAGGGGCATTGAGATACGATGAATGATACCCTTAAAATATCTCAGTAGTAAATACAATAATGGATTTACAAGAGTGTTTCTTCTTAGATTCAGAACTACAGTCTCATGGCATAATGCCAAAGCACAGTATATTAAAAAATTAATTTCTGTTGGTGTGGACACTGGTTTAAAAAAATAATAAAAGGGCATTAACAAGAGAAAGAAAAGTAATTCCTAAAGGGGTCAAAATAGGGCTATGCTCTCTGGTGGCCTGACCTAATACGAAATTTTAGAGTACAGGAACACCTCAGATATATTGAGGGTTCTGTTCCAGACCACCACAATAAAGAGAGTATTGCAGCAAAGTGAGTCACACAGGTGTTTTGGTTTCCCTCTGCATATAAAAGTTATCATTCCACTATATTTTATTCTATTAAGTGTTCAATAGCATTTGGATCTTAGGGAATAGAGAGGCCCAAGGGGATGGAGAAAATAGGAAAACACCTGCTTAGTGGAGCATTGAGAACACACACACACTTATTAATTAAATTTGTCATCTTATATGGGTGTGGTTTATAGTGCTCCAAAACAATAACAGTAACGTCGAAAATCACTGTTCAGGACTTCCGGGCAAGATGGAGGTGTAGGTATACATGACCCCCCTTCTCACACAACCACAGCAAAAATTAAAACTAAGCTACAAAACACCAGTCACTCAGAACTGTCAGAAAATCAAGCTATATGGAAGTCCGACAACAAGGGAATTAAAGAAGACACATTTGTTCAAATGGGTAGGAGGGACAGACATGCAGAATGAAACAGTCTCACACCCATGTGTAGTGAATAAAAATCAGGAGGGTGCGAGGGATCGCAGCCCCACACCAAACCACCCAGCCAGCGTTCCAGTTCCCCTTGACTTCTGTCTGTAAAAATACATGGGGGTTGGATGGCAGAAGAAACTGCAGGATTCTCAGGCATCTCTTCTTAAAGAGCTCACAACAGACTGAAGAGTTACTTAGACTCACTCCCTCTGGGCTCCAGCACCAGGGCAGCAGTGAGAAGCGCACCAATGGCATACAGGGAAGAACTACACTGTCTGGTATCAGGGCAAGTGCAAAGGGATAGCTTCCACCCTGACAAAACACCAGAGGCCAGGCAGTGGCCATTGTCCCTTTTCTGAGCAGTCCCCCATACAGCCGCAGAACAGATGTACCATATCTGAGACTCCATCAACCTAGTTCACACAGGATGCTCTGCCCTGGTGATTACTTAAGGCTCTGCCCTACCCAACATACAGGTCTGCTTTTCTACGTTAGGCCCCCACTACTAAGACAAGGAGTCCAAGCCCCTCTACTTAATACATAGAAACAAACATAGGGAGGCTACTAAAATGAGGAGACAAAGAAATATGGCCCAAATAAAAGAACAGAACAAAAGTCCAGGAAAAGAACTAAAACAATGGAGATAAGCAATCTATCAGATTACACTAAGAGAAATAAAGAAAAGTTAACAGGGAATTAACAGTGGAGTAGATGAAGCCAAGAATCAAATCATTGATTTGGAACATAAGGAAGAAAAAAAATCAGAACATCAAGAAGAGGAAAGAATCCAAAAATATGAGGATAGGATAAGGAACCTCTGGAACATCTTCAAATGTACCAACATTTGAATCATAAGGGTGCTGGAAGTAGAAGAGAAAGAACAAGAAATTGAAAATTTATTTGAAAAAATAATGAAAGAAAACTTTCTTAATTTGGTGAAGATAGGCATACAAATCCAGGAAGCACAGAGAATCCCAAATAAGTTGGGCCCAAAGAAGACCATACCAAGACCTACCACAGTTAAAACGCCAAAGATTAAAGATAAAGGGAAAATCTTAAAGGCAACAAGAGAAAAGCAGATAGTTATCTACAAAGGAATTCCTATAAGACTGTCAGCTGATTCCTCAAAAGAAACTTTACAAGCTAGAAGGGACTAGCAAAAAGTATTCAAAATGATGAAAAGCAAGGACCTACAAAAGCAAGGATTAGTCTATCCAGCAAAATTATCATTTATCATTGAAGGGCAGATGAAGTGCTTCCCAGATAAGGTAAAGCTAAAGGAGTTCACCATCACCAAGCCATTATTATATGAAATGTTAAAGGGACTTATTTAAGAAAAAGAAGATCAAAACTATGAACATTAAAATGCAATAAATTCACAACTATCAACAACTGAATATAAAAAACCAAGCAAATAAGCAGGACAGAATAATAATTATGGATATCATGGATGGTTACCAGTTGGGAGGGAGAAGGGAGAGTATGTGGGCAAAGGTGCAGAAATTCAGAAGTACAAGTAGGTACAGAATAGACAAGGGGAGATGTTTAGAACAATATAGGAAATGGAATAGCCAAAGAACTTATATGCATGACCCATGGACATGAACTAAGTGGGTGGTGTTGCCAGAGGGAGTTGAAAGTGCTGGGTGGAGGGTGCAAAGGGGGGAAAATTGGGACAACTGTAATAGTATATTCAGTAAAATGTATAAAAAAATAAAAAATCTCTCTAAAAAGATTATTCATACTTCACCATAACAAATATAATAATGAAAAAGTTTGAAATATTGCATGAATTTTCAAAATGGACAGGTGAGTCAATGCTGTTGGGAAAATGGCACCAATAGACTTGTTCTACACGGGGTTGCCACAAACCTTCAAGTGAAAAAACTCAGCATCTGCGAAGCACAATAATAAAAGGTTGTCTTGTACAGTCAAGCAAAATCATCTTGCTGCCACTTTGCAGCATTCACAAAAGAATGTCTTACCACATATTGCTAGCTCAGGAAATTTGTAGTACTGTCTCTACTGAAAGCACATCACTTTTGCACCATTGTAAAGTCAGAAAATTATAAGTTGAACTATTGTAAGTTGGGGACCATATGTAGATCAGAACACATTTTTTCATCCTGGGCTCCTTTGTCTTCTTGATGGAGAGATTGGGAGGAACAACATGGAAAATGTAGCTGCCGCAAGCTGGTTGGGGGTCATGTTGTATCTTGTTTGGGTCTTTTGTTTGAGCCAGATTGAGGAGCCTGGGCTGTGTACTTGGAGTGCTGGAGTGATGGCTTTCAAGTAGGAGAGGTAATGTTCTTAATATCGTTTAATGGGGTTGAAGTGTTTTATCTCTTTTGCTTTTCCTAGATTTGTCTTGAAAATTACCTTGTAGGCAGGTTGCGAACTTGTCAAAGGCAGGATGTAAGTCTTTATTTACCTTTTCAACCCCCATAGCCTAGTGCTTTGTCTTGGATAGTAGTACTCTATAAATGTTTGAAAATTGAAGTTAGATAACAGGAGATTTTTTTTTGGACTAACAGTAGAGCAAAACCAAGGTCAACATACTTGTACAGCTAGCATTCTAAGAGCTCTGGCCCAGATGCTCCAATCAGGTACATAAAGTTGGAATCATGGAACTTTAAATTTCTGAAAGCTATTGTAGAGATTATTGTGTTTATATAACTAAAGAGCATATCAAGGAGTGATTTTCTTATATGCTAATCTTGGCCTCTTTCTCTCTCTCGTCTTCCAGGTATATCATACTTTGTTCTGGCCTCTTGAATGGACAGTAGCTGGCAGAGACAACAGCACTTGTTATGCAAAGATAATTTGCAATAAATTTGACAGTGTATGTAATATGATTGGAAGCTGAAATGCTATAATTTTAAAATGTAGCTTTTATTCTAGTATTTGGGTTTTTATAATTTCTTTAAAGTTAGATTTCAGGGAAGGCATAAATCCTTCAAATTATTACCCAGTTAATGTGTTTGCAGATTGAATAAGTAATATAGATTGCAATTGAGGCTTACCGATACCTTCTCACAGTAATCACTGAAAGTTGTCTCTTCCCAAAGCTACCTAACTCAGCAGTTTAGAACTACATCATCTGTGAAAATTTTTATGCATTAACTAATAAAATGTAAGGTATATATTGATGTGCATTTTGTCAAGTGAATGTGAAAAAGCCTTTACAAGGAGCTGCTTACACAAAGTGAAAACTAGTTAAGTAATTTCTAATAAAGCCTTTCATTAAAGAAGAATCAGTAGGGTGGAGAACCCATTGTTGGAGTCCTCTGCCTTCCCTGTTACTGAGGTGAGCATGAAACTGTTAGCAGATGCCCTGATTGTTGGAATTTAAAGCACTGTTTATTTAGGACTTGTGTTATAAGGAACACTGAGGGTAGAAAGCAGTGTTAGCACTTAGTTCCTTCCTTTTTAAGAGTTTATTTTTTGTCTGGGGAGATAAAACATAAGATTAGATACATATGAACAGCAACATCTGACATTTATATAAAGTTTACAGAGTAATCTGCAGTTACTGTCATGAAGCTGTAGGTGCCTTTCCAAAGGGAGCAAGCAGGCAGAGGCTATGCACTGAGGCCTCCGAAAGTGAGCAGGAGTTGGGTTTGATAAAGCTGCTGCTGAAACCAAGATTCTCAGCCTTCATATTATTTCTGACCTATTGACAGAGTTGTTGACTGGCTAGCAGGCCTCAGGCAAAATTTCCAGGTCTATTTACCCTTCTTTTTGAACCCCGTCTCTGTTCCTTGCCACTCCCTCTACGCATGCTCAGCTGCTTCCTTGATCCCCATTTGCTCCCGCACAATTGCTCACTGTCCTCAATAGAGCTTATTACTTTCTTTTACTCCTGTCCAAATTTCTGCTTCATGACAGTAGTAGGACCATCCTACTACTATGTATTTTACTGTAGCTGTGTGGTAAAAATTGTGAATGAGGTTTACCCTCTCACAGAACCTGCCTTCATTTTCACTTTTAAATGGGCATTTTCTTCAGATATTTTTACTCTCTGGGCTGCCTGCCTTTCCCAGTTTGCTATATGTATGATGTACCACCTCAGAGGTTCTAATTCAGTCCCTTTGTGGGGCCCTGGGAACTGCGCTTTTCACCCAGAGATCCTGTGGCCTGTAACTACTCTCGAGAAACACTGCTTCCAGAGCTCTCCATTTGAGCACCCATGAGTAGTTGTGTATGAGGTGGCTGCTTTGAACCATTGTTTTTTCTCTAGAATGTGAGGAGGCAAAGATTGCTGCCAACCCCAAGAACTCTACTGCCCTTTCTGTTGTACACTTACTATTGAATATTAAAACAAAGACTAGAGCCTGATGAAAAAACACTGACGAAAGGACAGCCTAAATGCATTGTACCTTGGAAATTCACTCTGAATCTTTCCATTTCAGCGGTTTACTCATCATATGGGCCTCGCACCTCCCAGCATGCAGTCCTAGGCAAAAGCCCTGCACCAGCTACTCCTTGATCTTCCCTTAGTTGTCAGAAGTCAGGCAACTTGCTTCCTGGGCTGGGAATCACTGCAATGCCAGTGAAACCTGCTGCCTTAGAATTATTCCAGTGTTGGACTTTAATTCAGATTTGTATGTTGTTATTAGCACTATCTTGGCATAATTCAGAAATTTCTGCCATACATACTAATGAGCTCCTTTATGCAGTGGGTAAATAGCTTGTTTTCAGTAAATTTGAGTACATATATTACTCTGGGTGTTGTGTTTATTGGCTCTTAACAGATTCTTAACAGTGGCTCAGTTTCATGGTAATGTTCTCTGCTGAGTTCAACGTTGGTTCTTTTTCTGTAGTAGATATTGTCAATTCGAACTGTGAACTTAAATGAATAGATTCCTATTCAGACCATTAACCTACTGGACCTCCCTTTGTTTTGATTCCGTATTAAAGAATCGCGTGATAGGATTTCATATTCTTGGACCGAATGCTGGCGAAATTACCCAAGGATTTGCAGCTGCAATGAAATGTGGGCTTACGAAGCAGCTACTTGATGACACTATTGGAATTCACCCCACATGTGGTGAGGTACATAGAGAAGTGGAAGGTTTTTTAAGTTGACTTCAGTTGGTATGGTTTGAAAAAGTATTACAAAACACATTGTCAAAGTTTTTGTATTAGTAACTACTTTGCATATTTTAAAGGAGAACAGATGTAATATTCAGGATGTGTTTTCTTAAAGCAATACTGAAATATTATCGACTAAACACAAATTTGTTTTCTTCTTTTCTTATAGGTATTCACCACTTTGGAAATCACGAAGTCATCAGGACTAGACATCTCCCAGAAAGGCTGCTGAGGCTAGACCTGCTGCTGTCTAGTCTCCCTTGTCAATTCACATTTATTTCTAAGATTAGAATGCTTTCAGATCATGTGAGTCTGTGATCAGGGCACCTGCTCTCTTGCACAGGCCCTATTGCAGAGCTTTCTTCAAAGCATGCAGATGAGAATGTAGACAAGGAGACAGGCAGCAGTGGGTGTCTGCTTAGCAGTCTCAGCTGACTGGGAGAGGCAGTTACACTGCTTCCTTGACGTCTTACTCTGAACCCCTTGTGAAGTGAGCTAAGACCAATGCTCTTCCAAATCAGAACTGAGCTTTCCTCCTAAAAGACCTTTTAATCGCATAACTAATCTAAGTCAACTTTTCTGTTTCCTAGGGTTTTTATCCCTTTGCTTTGTTGTTCCTATGAAAATATTTTCTCATTTATAAAATTATAAAACAATGATCTTCCAGTGTGTGAGTGTGGAAGGCATACGTGGTCGCTGGTGCATGGTGTCTTTGGAAATGCCCTGAAGTAGCTGGCTGCAGAGGACTGGAGTGCATTAGTAGAAAGTTACACACACTAAATAGAGTTTAGTTAGCTGTTTTCTCCTTTGATTATATTCTTACCAACTGTCAGAAACGCACCTTACACTTCACCCTCTCCTGGTTTCCTGATGGTAACCACCTTGGGCTCAGTGATTCTCCTCTTAGTTTCTCTAGACTGAACAGTGTCTTTTGTCAGAGAGAAATGCTTGTATTTCTTTTTCATATTGATCTTAATATAAAAGGTTTTCAAATAAAAAGCATTATTTGAACTGTATTTAAAACTTTAAAATGATTCAGTCTACAGTCTATTTAATTATAGTCAAGTTCAGTAAATGAACAGCTGATATTAGGAGATTTCATTTGAGTTATACACCTGTTAGCATCTAAAAGGCCCTTGCAATGGGAGGCCTATCTAAGGCCAACCCAAAGAATTTGTAACCACTCTGCAGATATAGACAATTGGAAAGGTATATTTATCTTTTCTTAGGAAGGAGGAAGAAAGGCTTGGATATAGATCTGCCTGTAACTGGCTCCCTCATACCCTCTCTCCTACTCCCTGCACACTGCCCCCAACTTTATCTCTTTCTCCACCTTTCTTTTTTCTCCTCTCCTGGAGTAAAGATGGGCTCTTTATAATGGTGAGAGATCTGTTTTACCTGGAAGATAAACTTTGTATGCATCTAATAACATGCATACAGACCTGTAGGGAAATATTAACATCCTCCATTATAATAGAGATTTTAATAATACCTCAGCAATTTACTAGATAGAAGAAAAAATATCAGTAAAGGTACATATTTGAATAGCACAATTAAGCTTAGTTTAATGAACTTAGGAAGGAGACTTTAACATAAATATTTCAAGCACACATGGAATATTTATGAAGTTTGCCATGTGTTAGCTCAACAAATTTCAAAAGGCTGGTATCATATAGAGATGAGACAAAAGGATTTTAGCTGTGGGACTAACACGAAGAACCCAGAGACCTTAAGATTCATGTAATATGATGGAAAGTGAAGTATGGAGCTTTTGTGAGGTGAATGAGGAGTTAATGGGAGATCAAGCTGAAAGAGCCAGGTTAGAGTCAGGAACCAATCACAAGAAGAAGGGAATTGTGGAAAGATTCTAGACCTTGAAAAATAATAGGCTTGTGAATACCTGGTCCCATTATTTACTAGATGCATGAAAAAATTAATTAACACTTCTTCATTTATTATTGACAATATTGCCCATTTCACAGACCTTTAACAATTGAATACATTTATTAAGTTTCCAATATAATAGCATATCAGTGTAGAGTATCTTAGTATCCATGATGATGAGTAGGGGCCCTATTTAAGGAATGCTTTTGTAAACACAAAACAGTATAGCCAATAGATAGAGAAGAGACCTATTGACAAATCAGTGCTTTGGCAGCCCTGGCTGGGTTGCTCAGTTGGAGCATCATCCCATACACCATAAGGTTGTGGGTTTGATCTGTTAGGACACATACCTAGGTTGCTGGTTTGATCTCCAGTCAGGCACATATGGGAGGCAACCAATCAATTTTCCTTTCATACTGATGTCTGTCTCTGTCAAATCAATAAACATATCCTCGGGTGAGGATTTTTTTCTTTTTAATCAGTGATTTGGCAGACTTCAATGTAATAGGCAGCCTTTAAGTTGGGCCTCAAGTTGGATGCTCCAGCTATGGGTAGTCACATCCTTGTATAGTCCCCTCTTATAATGTACCAAGGTTGGCCTGTGTGACTAATATGACAATAATGGTTTGTCACTTCTAAAATTAGGTCATAAAAGGACTGCAGCTTAAGTTTTGGTCACAGGTACTCTCTTGGGTCACTTGCACTGTGAGAAGGCAGCTGCTATATCATGAAGACTCAGGAAACTTGAGAAGCCCAGATGGTGAGGAACTGATACCAGCCAACAACAAACCAAGGTCTGTCAGCATCAATTTGAATGGGCTCAGAAGTGACATATCCCTAGGCAAGCCTTACTGTAGCCAGCAGCTTGCCTGCACTCTCTTGAGAGACTGTGGGCCAGAACAACTCAGGCCAGTCTCAGATTTCTGATCATCAGAAACTGGGAAAATAAATACTTTTCAAGCTACTGTTAGTTTTGGAGTAATTTGTTAGTTAAATAAAATAAATAGCATGTTCATGGAAAATTAAAATTAGTACAAATTTCATCAAATAACTAAAATGTCTTGGACTTTTTTTCCTAGGGCAGACAAAACAGACCTTACGCAGATTTTGGATTTCAACAAAAAGAGATTGGAGCTCAAACTAAGCACTGAACTTCCCTAAATTGCAGACAAGGAAACCCTAAGCAGGGAAGCTTAAGGGGCCTTAGTGGAGAACCTTCTGAGTCTGTGGTCTTGAGCTTTTGTGGTGATGGTTCCTTGCTGAACTTTCTTAGAGCATTTATGATTGTCAGCGTTCATGAAAGATTGCTTAGAAAAACATTCAACTTAGCAAGGGAGAGCAATACCTTGATAGTCTCATCTTCAGAGTTAGAGAAATGTCCTTAGAATATTGGGGGTGGGGCTAGGGTTAGTCAAGTGGTGGTTATATGGCAGAGGTAGGTAAATGGCTCCGGGCAGAAATTGGTCAGACTTTGTAAACTAGTTGCTGGAATGGTGTCAGTGGCCTTTAGAATTTGGGGTATAAAAGACCATATTGAGTTCCTGTTACGGCAGTGTTCTCTTGGAACATAGGTCTGAATGTGCTTGTGTTAAAGCAGCTCAAGTTTTGGTAATTTGTTGTGTAATGTGCTCTAGTACACTTTATAGGTTTTTGAGTAATACTACAGTTTTTCAAATTGTGGTTTTATTTCCCAATAGAGAACCATCTAGTGTGTCTAGGAAGGGAGTGACCAAAAGACCTAGTGGGAATTTATTGCAAGAGGTCATCAAATATTCACTGAGACTTAATGCTTCCATCCATACTGGAATAACAAATACTAGATGTAATGTTCCTCTGTAAAATAGAAGAAATGTGGAACTGCATTCAGGCATGGAACAATGGACAGTGCAGAACTGTGATTCCTGAGACAAGGGAAACAAATCAGGTGATTCCCTACAATTTCCCCAACTTTCTGCGTGGAAGTAATTTTTAGACTACAAACACAAGGGAGAACCCAAACAGAGCCTGGCAATCTTTCTAAATGGGGATAGAAATTGGAGTTCATTGTAGGGGAGAGACAAGTGGGAGCTGTGCAGAGAAAAGGTCCAAAAATCTGCAGCAAGATCCCATGAGTATGCTGAATTCTAAGCCATACACCCTCAGATTAAAATTCTAGAAGGTCAGGGGAAAAAATGGAGTAAAAATTGAACAATTGCCACAGGTCTCAGAAGGTGAGGGAAAATTCTAACTATGACCAGCAGAAGAATGTCCTGAATAATCCCCCTGAGGAGTTAAGTAGAGACTTCATAGGGAGCCATGCTTTAGTAGAGTTGAACTATTCTATGAGGCAAGCCTACTGTAGACTCACCCTAACAAAATTTGAAAGTTGGCTTTAATGGGATTAAGATAATCCAGAAGTCACTGCCAACAAAAAGTAAGCACAATGAGCATTAAAGGAAACAAGAAAACACTAGAAAATGTAAAGACCTTAATACCCAATAAACAATTACTAGGCTGCCAAAAAGCAGGAAAATGAGACCCTTAAAAAAAAACAGTGAATAAGAAATAGACCCAGAATGACTATGTGATTGAAATAACACAAAGTTGTTACAGGGAAACTTGAACATAATGAATAAAATGGAAAATAACCAAAAATATTTTGTATAGGTAAAAATACAGTACTGGCAGATGTGGCTCACTTGGAGCATCATTCCATACTCCAAAAGGTCCCATGTTCGATTCCAGATGAGGCCATATACCAATGTTGCAGGTCAATCCCCAGACACTGTGTGTGAGAAGGCAGCTAATCAATCTCTCTCATTCTCTATTGATCTTCTTTCTCTAAGAGCAATGAAAAAATATCCTAAGTTAACATAAAAACTATCAGTAAAAGAGGAAGAATACAATTTCTGAATTGAAGAACACGGAAGGAATCAAAAGCAGTCTAGATGAAGCAGAGAAACAAATCAGCGAGCTAGAGGATAAGAAAAAAGCTCCCAGAAGAAGCAAGAAAATGAAAAAAGACTCAAAAAGAATGAAGAGGCATTGAGGGAAATGCAGGATAACCTGAAACGTAATAATATCCATATAATAGGGATGCCAGAAGGAGAAGAAGAGAAAGGGTTGGAGAACTTGTTCCAAAACGTAATGATGGAAAACTTCCATAATAAGAGAAGAGAAAGTCACACGAGTCCAAGAAGCACATATGGTCCCATTCAAGAGGTACCCAATGAGGCCCACTCCAAGACACATCATCATTAAAATGGCAAATGTCAAACACAGCAGAGAATCCTAAAGAAAGCAAAGGAGAAACAGGTAGTAACATACAAGGGAGCCCCAATATGGCTAGCAGCTGACTTCTCAACAGAAACACTGCAAGCCAGAAGGAAATGGCAAGAAATATTCCAAGTCATGAAAAGCAAAGGCCTGCAACCAAGACTTCTACCCAGCAAGGCTCTCAAAATGGAAAGGAGTTTCCCAGACAAAAGAAGGCTAAAAGAATACACCTCCACCAAACCAGCTTTGCAAGATACGCTTAAGAGACTGCTTTAAGAAGATGAAGAAAAAGAGCCTATGAATACCCAGTCCCTTTCACAGTCACCAGTACTTGATATTACCAATATTTTTAATACTTTTTAATCTGTGGTAATGATGTATTATTTTAATTCTTTATTATTTGTTGAAACTATACCTGCTTTGTATATTTGTTGTGCATTTCTATTATTTTTAAAAAGCTTTAAATGACTTTTTGGTATTCTTTATCCATTTTTGACTGTAGGATTTTTTCCCTAAAAAACCTGAAAACTATTAACCCTTTTTTTAGATGTGTTGCAAATACTTTCATATTCTATTACTTGTCCTTTAACTTTTGTAATATGTATATTACTGTATAGTTTTAAATGTTTAATATAGTTATATTGTCAATGTTTTACTTTATAGCTTCTGGGTTTGAATATTAAGGGTAAGAAAAATATTTTATATTTTCTCCTAAAAGTCCTTAGATTTTACACATTGATTTTTAACTCACCGGAATATTTTTTGTATAATGTGTGAAATAGGGCTTTATATTTGTTTTATTTCAAGTAATAGTGGTCCATGCACCTTACTTATTGAATAAGCCGTATTTCTCCACTGATTTGAAATATCAACTTAATCATATA